ACATAAATACACACACACATATATATATATATACACATGTGTATATATATATATATGCATCCACACAGACACATTATTTTAAGTCACCCCTACTCCCGGCAGCTTCCTTCCGAGAAAGCCCAGAGGCCTTGAAGGAGGAGCTCCACCAGCTGACCCTTCGTCTCGCCAAAGTGCGAGGTGCACCCTCCTAGGATGGGTTTAGGGTTTAGGGTTTAGGGTCCTCCTAGGATGCAGGCTTATAGGGGGGGCGGCTTTATGTGGTTTTTTCCAGGGTTTTTTGGGCGGCGTCCTGCGGTGTTTTTGGGTCTTTAGGGGCGTTAGGATGTTTGGGTCATATATTACTATACCCCTTTCCCTGAACCCCCTTTCTCGAGGTTGTTTTGTCGAAGGGTCTCTTGGGGATGGCGTCCCCGGCGTCATTGCCAAAGCCTGCGCTTCTGGAATACCAGAGCCTCTGGGCTTCTGTCCACAAAAGCCAAGTAGCCTTGTCAGAAAGCCTTGTTTCTGCGATGTGGGATCTGCTCTGCTTGCCGACACGTGCAATGAGAAGTCTCTTTGGAACTGCACTTTGCAAGCTGGTAGTTCAGTGAGATGTCTGAGGAACTGCACTCTGTCACCTGGGTTATGGTCTAGGCTTCTCTTTCCTATTCTCGCAAAAGCAAAAAGGCTTTTCCTGAACCCATGCCAGTCTTTTTTTGGGGGGAGTTCGGGCCCCGAATATGTTTGATGGCCACCCCTTATAGGCATATTTACGGGGCCCAAACATCAATTATTTGGCCAGATCTGGGCCCCCAATCTACAAGAGTCTTCCGCCGGGAATTTCTGACCCAGGGAATATTTTCCTTGTCACCTTATTCATTAGAGACTCTCTTACATTGGAGATTCGAACATCCTGATTCCCAAGCGGCGGCTTTGTGCTTCGAATCCACGACCTGCTCAACCAACATCAGCCCCTAAACCCTAAGACCCTAAACCCAACATCAGCTACAGCGGATGTCGCAGCAGGCCTTGACCCAGCCGGCTACGGCTTTGAGACAGCTGTGGCCGCTTTGGAGGTGCTGGGCTTCAGAAAATAAGGGGTACCGAAATTTGGGGTCCTAAAAATAAGGATCCCACAAATTAGGGTACTATATTAGGGTCGGAAACGGCCATTTCCCAACATCGGTACTTTCATGGGGGAGCCGCAGCATCTCCGAGCCCTCATACCCCCAGAACCCTAGAGCCATATATAAACCTACAGCCCAATTCGGGTCGATGGGGTTTAGGGGTTTAGGGCTTTAGGGTTTAACAGTTTAGTGTTAGGGTATACATCGCAAGGAATCTCACTTCCGTTTTTAATATGATTATTCTTAATATTATTACTATTATTACTATTATTACTATTATTACTATTATTACTATTATTACGATTATTACTATTATTACTATTATTACCATTATTACTATTATTACTATTATTACGCTTTCCTTCGGAGAATCGCTAAGGTTTGGAGAAAGCCGGGTCCTTGCACCCGGGGCGCCTGCAGCCCTTGAAGCCCTGAACCCCCGGGGCCCTTGCACTTTCAAAAAAAAAAAGTCCTAAACCCGAAGCCGAAAGCCCCCGAGACTGTCGGCCCGAAAAACTTGAGAACCCCTAAACCCTAAAACCCTCCCTACTGAGTCATGAAGCCTCAGGCTCCCCCTTTGAAACCGGAATCCGGCAAACCCGGGTTCTCAAGAGCATATGGGGGGCCTTCTCAGAAGAAGATAGGCTCCTCATACTGACACTAATAATAAGAAGAAGAATAAGAAGAAGAGGAATAATAATAAGAATAAGATTAATAGTAGTAATAATCACATAGTAGTAGTAGTAGTAGTAGTAGCAGTAGCAGTAGTAGTAGTAGTAGTAGTAGTAGTAGCAGTAGCAGTAGCAATCGCAGTAGCAGCAGGATTAAGAGTAGTAGTTGGTGGTAGTAGTAGTAGTAGTAGTAGTAGTAACGCTAATGTGTTGGCTTTCAGGGAATTTCTGTGGCTTACGAGGGTTAGTGTAGGGTTCTGGTACTGCTTGTGTAGGGTTCTACCGGCCTGCTATCGGGTGGTAGCAGTCTTCTTAAAGGTGTCTTACAGTTCTTTTCTGGAATTGAGGAGCGGGTTTAGGGTTGAAAGGCTTAGGGTTCTCATACGGTCCTTTAAATACACCCTCCTAAACCCCTAAACCCTAAACCCCTAAAGGTTCAGGGTTCTTATTACAAGGCCTCTTAACAGTTTGGACTTTTAAATACACCCTCCCTAAACTTCCCTAAACCCTAAACCCCTAAAAGGTTCAGGGTTCTTATTAAAAGGCCTCTTAACCCTAAACCCTAAACTCCCAAGCCCTACGTCCTAAACCCTAAACAGTTTGATGAGGGTTTCACTCTGCCAGGCCTTAGATCCTGGCTTCGGCGCAGCGCTGCACCAGGCGCGTGGGTTTGAAGTCAGGGCTTCGGGACATTGAGGCTTCTGGAGGCTGATGGGGTTTAGGGTTTAGGGTCTAAAGGGGTTTAGGGTTAAGGGTTTAGGGCTTATGGAGGCTTGTGGGCTTGAGAAAATGTAAAGGGGTTCTATATGATATGGGTTTGCATCTTGTTCTATGTGCAGGGGAGTCGTAAGGGTTCACAGGCGAGAACGGGTTCATCAGAGTTCTAAGGTGGGGTTTTGAGGGTTTGGTGTTTAGGGTTCCGGGGTTCAGGGTCCGGGATTTGTGGTTTACGCTGGTTGCGGTTCTTCAACGGTTACACGAGGGCTTCCGGTTTGGGGGCTAAAGTGGGCTTGGCATCTACTTTAGGGTTGGGGTTCAGGCCAGTTCAGGGTGCAGGGGTTCGGCGTTTGGGGGTTGGGGTCTCCGGCGCGTTTGTGGCGCTAAGCGCCTGTTTTTTTTGCTGGTTTTGAAGTTGTGGGATTGGGCATGCTTCACTGCCACCTCAGATTCTCGAAGGCAAATTTGGCTTCTCTCTCGTGCTTAGCCTCCTTCTGCAAGTGGCGACATTTCTTGTGTTGGGGCACGTGTTGACTACTTGGGACAAAAATGGGTTTGTAGCTACTGTTGCAACGTTGACTTTTTTCAGTGACGCGCTGTGGCTCTGTATCACAGACGGTGCCAGCCAGAAAAGCTCATGGTGTGTCGTGCGAGGGAACATGCCTGGAATCGGTAGATGGCAGCCGTGTAGCTGCCCTTACAGGACCACCCAGAATAGGGTTTCTGGGCATCACTTGCTACACCCGAAACCCGAAGCCATGAACCCTCAACCCCAAACTCATCGCTTGAAAACCCTAAACCCTAAACCCTAAAACCGTAAAGCCCGAAAGCCTGAACAGCATCCTCGAGCCTCCAGAAGCTTCCAAGCAGAGGCCATGGCCTTGACACCTGCGGTTGCAGCGCTTTGGCGGAGCCCTGCGTTAGTGGGAGCTGTACATAAACTTAAAGGCGCGGTGGACTTGATGGGCGTCTCCTGGCTACGCCCAGAATGCATACATATGTATGTGTGTGTGTGTATATATATACACACACACATATATATATATACATACACATGTGCTTCTTTCCTCCTTCCTCTCTATCTGTCATAGCTACCTAACTACTTGGCTAGCTATTTATCTATCCATATGGTCCATATGTATGATGGGGTATCCGGGCGGGGGACTGCCTGGTCTCAGAGTTCCGGGTCTAGGCGCGTCTTCTGGGTGCAAAATTGCCTCAAGCAAACGGCCTAAGGCCCCCACCCTGAACCCCTCAAGGCCCTATAGACCCTAAAGCTCTAATTTTTCGGGTTTAGGGTTTAGGAACCCTTAAAACTAAGCTCGAAATCCCCGGACCCTAAAACTCTAGAGCCATAAGCCCTGAAGTACTAGGTCCTATGTAAGGCATGAGCCCGTTAGGCCCTGTGAGGTTGAACCCATTCAAGTTCATTTCATCATTTTTGCTATTACTATTGTTGTCATTCTTATTTAATATTAGTTTGAAAATTAAAATTCTTATTGTTGTCATTCTTACTAGTTTTAAAGAATTAAAATTCTTACTGTTAGGACCGGTAACAATATGACTATGATAGCTGTTTGCCTTCCTTCAATCCTGTGATACCCAGTTGTCCGTATTTTTGTAGTATTATCAACATTGTTCTTGTTGTATCGATTGCTTTATTGGAACCCTTGTGTTCTACCCTATATGCCTCTATAAATAAGCCTCCTGATAATCCCAAGCCCTTTTGTAGTACTATCAACATTGTTCCTTTTATCGATTGCTAGAAGCTCTACGGTCTCTTTGCCTTCAGATTTCCCCACAGCCGGTGCCATCAGCTCGGAGTTTTAGAGTCATTGGGGCGAAGCGTGGTTTAGGGTTTAGGGTTTAGGGCTTAGGTACCACTTGAAAGTAAAGTAGACGGATTGTTACTTGTAGGATCATGGTCCTAGGCCCATAGGGACCTCCCCGCTTGCAACTACTACAGAGGTTACTTGAAGGCTTCATGTCGGGTTCTGTCATGGTCATATAGAAGCTTTAGGGTTTAGGGTTAAGGGTTCCGAAGTTCTCTAGGTACTGTAGCAGGTTTCAGGTCCAGGGTTCTCTGGGGTTCTATAAAAGTTTCAGAGTTTAGGGTTTATCGGGTTCAGGGTTTAAGGTTTAGGGTTCAGGGTTTAGGGCTGTATGAGGGTTACTACAATTACAAGGCTGCCTATGAACCTTCGATTCAAGCATCCGGGTCTTGCTAAGGAAGTTCCTGTAAGTTACCATCATAGGGGCTTATACTGAATATGATCGTTTCCTTGTTTTGGTAGCTGAGTACCCTAAACCCTAAACCCTTAACAACCCTAAACCCTAAACCCTAAACCCTAAACCCTCCCTTAACAAGAGCCCGGAACAGGTTGGCGGTCTGTGGCTGCCCATCCCATCTTCAACATTCGGCCCAAGTCTCCTTCCGCGCGGGAGCTGAACTACGGCGCGCCGGACCGGGGGTTCCCGGGGTTTCGATTTCAGGGCTTAGGGTCTACCTGTAACCCCAGTCAAATCCTACAAAAATTGATAGGTTATGACCCCTGGATAATTATAGAATATACCACTTTCAATCATTTTTTTTCAATCCCCAGGTAGGAGTTCGGGCTTATGTCTTGCCTAAGCCGCTTTGGGGCCGTTTTAAGGCTCCTCTGCCCCGGACGAGACGAGCTGCTTTTTTTTTGGCGGGGTCGGAAGTAGTAATACTGCAACATCCCCGTGTAGTCCCTTTCTGCGTACTGCATTCTGGCTGCCTTGCCTATCAACATACACCCGATACCGCCGAGACCCTGAACCCTTGACCCCACCCCCCAGGCCCTTTATATGCCTTGAAGTCTGAACCCGACAAGCCCCTGTCACACTAAACATCTTCATGCAATCCCAGCCCCTAAACTCCTAAACCTTAAACCCTGAACCCTACACCCCAAACCCCCAAACCTTCAACCCGAAACCCCAGATCCCATTTCTGTCTGTTTCTGGAAAGGCCTTCATCAAGATCCAGCCTTCTGGGGAGAGGTGGCGGGTTGAGGGACTTTCGGGCTTCGTCGGTGTAGGCTGCTTCGTGTGTTAGAGTCATGGGGTTCTGAGCTTTTTGGGTGCAGACGCTTGAAGTTTGGAGATTTCGTGTTTACTGTTTTGGGTCGTTGCCCTTGGCTGCATGCTTGGGAGGCAGCTTTCGGCTACTTGCAATCTTACACCTACCCCTAACTCCTACCTAAACCCTCCAAACCCGAAGCCCTAAGCCCTAAACCACTATCCTACGCCCAATTTGAGGGCCCTGAGGCCTTGAATGAGCCATGCACATCGAGAGAGGATGTCTGGGCTGCCAGACTTGAGGCCTTACATCAGAGCGGACGGTATCGTATAGTAGAAAAGAGTAGAGTAGAATAGAGTTGAGTCGAGTAGAGTAGAGTAGAGTATAGGATAGTAAGCTATAGTATAATATAGAAAAGTGTAGAGTTATGGTTAGATGGCTCAGGATTCTGTCATTGGTGGACAACATCAAGCAGAGGTAAGCTGTTTACGCTTCGGTTGACGATCCTGGACCCTCATCCCGGCTCATCCCAAACCCCACCCCGCCCCACAGGTTCTGTGAAATGGTGCTGCGCCACGCAGATCTCGTTAGCTATACCTAAGTCGTCTGACTTGACAAAGCCAAAACCCTAAACTCTAAACCCTAAACCCTTAAACTCTGAATGCAGGCAGCGGCCGAAATCGATGTGGTCGCTGCCTGGTTGCCCCTCGTTCCTGTCTCCGAGGAGCCACCCGGATGTGGAGAGCTTGGTTTCAGGGTTTTCGGAAGGTCCTATGAAGGTCTCAGGCTTTAGGGTCCGGGTGGTACCACAATATACTTTAATATGAAATAGCATATTATAGTATAGTATAGTATCTTGTATATACTGTAAGGCTCTCATTTAGCAGGTTGGGTTTTTTGTTACATGGTTTTAGTGCTTTCGGGTTTGGAGGGTCTCGAGTTTCAGGTAAACTTGGGTTTTTCACCCAGGGGCCCAACACGACAACATTGTGATCCGGTAGCTTGCCGAGATTGCAGATAGCTGTTCTTGTAATTACGACTAGTTATGAGACGATTAATTTACTTCCCTGTTTGGCAGCTATGCTAAACCCTCAGCCTTGAACCCCCGTCGACACGTCAAGGTGGCTGTCACCGTTGGCTTAGGGTGTGTAGTGCATGCATGAGCCCCAAATTCGAAAACCCGAAAAGATGCCTAACACCCCCAAATTGAGCTGCATGCATAACATACGTAAAGGCATATGCAATGCATGAAAAAGGCAGATCGGCAGTTTCAGGGGTAGGTAGAGACTTAGACAAGAGCTCGAAAAGTAGATGGATGGATGGCTCCGAGATCACTCTTTGACCGTTGTATAGCTTATTGGGGGTATCAGAAAATGGAGGACCCTTACTTGACAACATAGCCTTATAGGATCCTGAGTATCAGCACACCCAAAAGGATCCCACACTTTCAGGCACCACCGGATCTTCAGAGCAAGTAGGGTTCTTATGGACATGACCCTCGTGCGAGGGACCACTAAGTCAGTGAGTTTAAGAACCCCCCCACTAGCTTGAGGAACGGGACGCTCCAGCTCATCCGTGGCTCCCACAGGACACGCGCGATTTTGGTTCCAATGTCCCGGTGCATTCCTATATGATCAGTCCCTGTATGATTGCGTTAGAGTATCTAAACCCACCCTAAACCCTAAAATGCCCTCAAACCTTGCCTTGATTGTTAAGGGCCCTATATCTAGCGTCGGTTCGCACCTGCGGGCTTGGGGTTGTGAGGTTAGAAGGTCAACATAAACTAGAGTTACCCAACCGAATGAGTGGGAAAGACCCATGGGCCATGATCCTTCAAATAAGCTCTCTCAGGACATTCTCCTGATTTCTAGAATTCAAATTTACCCGCGAGATTCAGAAAGCATGGATGGACGACTAACATGAACCTTGACCAGTAGGGCCAATGGACCCTGAGTTTAACACACCCCATCCAAACCATATCAACACCCTATCAACCGATACTATCAAAAGCCCAGTGCAGAATAGGAATCCTCGAGAAACCCCAGGGCCCCAACCAACCAGGAGTTCCGACTTGTATCAGCACTTCCTCTCACCAGATGGGGCTTTGGCTCCCTTCATCCCGCAGGCGGGAAGCCGATCTCGGCCTTGGAGGGAAGTAGGGTGGGAGTCGGTTCAACTGTCCACAGACCCGTTTGCTAGGGCTCATGGCTTGGGTCCTTGGGGTGTATAGTTTTAGCCGTGTGTGCAGCACCGTAGAAATGCTTCTATTCTGCGATACATTATACATACATATGTATATATATATGAATATATATATATATGATACATACATGCATATACACATATGCAAAATGTGCATGTATACACATGCGTATTCATACATATAGTACACGCATTCATATAGATACACATATACCAGCCTCCAATGCTAGACTAGAGCTGGTAAGAAGAACAATACGAGCAGAATACGAGTACTCAGACTAGCAGTACCAATGCTCATACTGATACTCTAGTGCTACTACTACAGTGCAATACCAGCAATGCAATTAACTAGCAGTAATAAGATACTACGAACAGCAACAGTAAGAAGAACAGCATTCTCATGCAGAGTAGTTTCAATAGTATTGCCAATAAGCAGTAGTAGTCATAGAGATGATTCAACATCATAGCAGCAGAAGCAGCGCACTGGCTCTGCAAACTAACGTAGTAGTCATACAGAAATTTCAACATCATAGCAGCAGTAGCATTGCTCTGCAAACTTAACTAACGGTTATACTGACAGTGACATGGCAGCAGCAATGATTCTGCAAATCACCAGTTATCCTTAATGATCGTGACAATAGCAGTAACAATGGTTCTGCAAACTACCACATAGACTGAAGGGTCGTGACAATGGCAGTATCAATGGTTCTGAAAGCTAACAGCTATGCTTAATGATAGTGAGAGGCTAGCAATCAGAACCAAAGTTTCGATGAACAAGCTCTTTCCTAAACCCTAAATCCTAAACCCTAAACCCTAAACCCTAACTTTGGACCGCCCCTTTGGCTTTTCCTCAAACCCTCGGCCACTGAGGGTGTAGGAGTTTAGGGTTTTGAGGGTTTAGAGTTTCGGCTTTCGGGCGTTTAGGGTCTGGGGGCTTGGGGTTTGGGGTCTTCAGGCTTTAGGGTTTAGGGTTTGAGGGCTCAGAATCTTAGAGTCAACGTCCAAGACCCGGAAAGCTCATGCCCAAGCATTGGGATGCTGGTGAGGAGAGCTTACCCATGGGCGAGCGCCACCTGGCGTCTGCTAAGGAGGTTGGGGCTTTAGGGGCTGTAGACGTGATGGTCTATCAGGCACGGATCCTGCTATGTCAGGGCCCTAAACCCTAAACCCTAAACCCTAGACTTTAAACCCTAAACCCTAAGGGGCCTAATCCTGAGAACCTTACCTTGAAGGCTTGCAGGATCACGTTTCAGAATTTGGGGCCAGCGCCATGCTGGCCAGCAGCAGACATCCTCCGAGTTGCACTGCAACCTCGAGCCCTGCGTAGTCGAGATATCATTTTGGCGATCATCTGGCTTAGTACCGGAGAGGAAATGCTCGATATAGGACCATGGGGTGCAGTTTCCGAAGATCCACGAAGCCAGCTTCGTGGTATACTCCAATCCTAGACAGCCGTGCTCATGGTGTCTTGGGCTCCCTAGATGGACCATAAAAAAAAGCCTACACCTTACACCCTAAACCCCAATGAAGCCCAAACCCGAAGCCGTGTTTTGATCATACATGAATGCCCGGACAGTAGACCCTGAAGGGAACCTAAACCCTAAACCCTAAACCCCAAAACCCCTAAACCCAAACCCTAAACCCCCAAAGCGGATCCTCCGAGGTGTGTTGGCCATCCTGAATCCTGGTGATGCAGTTTTCTTTTCTCAGCGCACAGCCGCACGACCCGACTTTAGAGAGAGGCTAGGGTTAAACATGTAAGGGTTTAGGGAGTTTAGGGTCTAGGTTTTAGGTTTGGGTTCTTGGGAGGGTTTGCAAGGTCTTCAACTTTCCGGAGTATGGGCGATAGGATCAGAGGGCTAGAATAGTTTCCCTCAGCCAGATTTAAAACCCTCCTTCGTACATGCTGACATGGCATTGCACTGTTCAAAGAAATAGGCTGTATGGGTGGCGTTGGCCTACCCGGTTCCTTCAACGCATTGTGCTAGACCCTGCATCGCGGCAGCAGATGCACGCACCTTCACCAATAAAGATCTTTCCACAAGCCGAGGAGATCGCACACAAGCAACTTCAGCTGCTTTTTGACCTTGAAACAACCGTAGCAGGACCGTAGCACGATGCCTGCAACAGAGCCTATAAAACCCAAGAGGGGGCCACTACAAAGCCCCTGAACACCCCAGCCCTAAAAAGCTTAGGCCGTAAGCCCTGGTTAATTGGACCCAAAGCCCTAAACACCAAACCCTAGACCATGTTCTAAAGCCTCACAAATAGCCAAGAGCCTTGCAAGAATCGTAGATCCATCCTCAGAGGAAGGCTTGTAATATAGGCCCCGCTTCGAGGAACCCCTCATTAAAGCTTGAAAAAACCCTTACAGGAAAGACTCTTGTAAAACCCTGTATGGCAACCCCCTATATAACCCTACACCCTAAAGCTGTTTCAACCTTCTACCCAGAGAAAAATCATTCTAAGACACCTACCAAAAAGTCTAAGACCCTTAAGAAATTGATAACAAAAAAGCTCTAAACCCTAAACCCTCAAAGCCTAAACCCCTAAACCCTAAACCCTAAACCCCTAAACCCCTAAACCCCTAAACCCCTAACCCCCCCTAA